TTAACATTACCTAGATAATCTATAGATAACTACTTACAAATTACGTCCATAGTAATGGTAAAAATGATTTTTGGGTATATATAAAGGTCATTAGCTCATTCGTTAACAAAATAACATCGGGAGGTACTATATTCAACATCTTTACATAGCATACTTTATGTAAAAAGTTCGAAAGATATTAAAAGAGAGAAGTACGAAAAGAAGAATCTGTATATATTTTACTTTTTCCATGAACAAGTCTCACAATACTCCTTGATTTGAACACTAACAATAATATAAGAGTAGTAGATCAACACTTGATTTTGATTATTCAAATTAAAAAAAAAAACTCTCAAATATAATAATTCAGTCTCTAAAATTTAACATTTAAGAGCTGAAAATTTATTCTTTTAAGAAGGACTATTTCTTTTATTATGGAAAGCAGAACCAGATTCTACTATTTATGAGTTGATGAGCTTATTGGGAGATCTGGTGCTTCTGTGTCCTTTGTTGCTGTTGCTGATGGCTGTTCGAGGAGTGGATAGTCTTTGGCTTTACCCCACACCACTGAGTAAAGCCCCAGTACGATAATTGTGGCGCCAATGATACTGATATATATAAAATGTTGTAGACAAACAAAAACCATCATTCAGAAAATTAACTCAAGTATGATAATAAAACATTGACTTAAATGTCTTGATTAATTTAATAACAGTGACAACAAATACTAGAATGTAAAGATTGGACAGTGTGATGAAGCTAATAAACAACGATTGACCAAACACAACATTATACCAATTACCTTCCTACGTAGATCTGTTCTCCAAGAAGAAAGGAGCCAAAAGTAGCAACGTTGATCATTAATAGAGGATTAAAGGATGTCATGAACACAGGTCCTCTGCTTTTCATTACCAGCCCTTGTACATAATATGCTATTCCTGAACTCATTATTCCCTGTATTTTTTATAACTCGTTACAACACCAAGTTTTAAATTCCAACAAAAATGAACAGTTTCCTTGCTATAAGATATCATTAAATAACAATTTATTTTAAAACATAGTAATTAGGTTAAATGTTATTTTTATAAACTAAAAGTTTTTGGTATTTAAAATAATTTTTTATTAATAATAAAATAATCATTAGTTTGTAAATCAAAGTTTAAATCTGTCTCTCATATTGACAACAAATATTTTAACTCTATTACTATTATATTTTAAATTAGACTTTGTTTCATAATTTTTTATTACATAATAATAATTTTTTTAATAAAATATTGTCTAATCAATGATGTAATCACAAATTATATTTTGTTTCTCTATTAAGTGTATCTAACGATTTTTTATAATATCTCTTCATCACGAAAATATTTTTTATTTAAAATAAATCAAATAATATTTTTACCCATAACATAATTTGATTGTAAATAAGAATGGATAGTTTTAAAAATAAATACATTTTATTCTTTTTATATTCAAAATAATGTATTTTTGTGAAAATATAATAGATTATTTTTTTATTTCTTTTACATATATGACAATATGTAAATAAATTTTATTCTTTTACGTATATGACATTATGATGGTATAAGTTCTGTCAAATGGACTGCAACTCATCTTTGCACTGTATGTTATTATTCACATAAACGAATTAAATTTCAGTTTAAGTATTAGATCATCCCGAATTTGAGAAAACAAGATTAGGAATTATGATCCTTATTACACGCCCTCTCCTCAAATTATTTCATTCACCTATGTACCAAACTTTTATTTCAATATCAATCTTCAATTTATTTTTAGAATTATGTTTAATATCATATGTTTTAAATAAAAACAATTTCTATCTTAATAAGATAATTGTTTTCTTTTCTTTGTCTATTTTGTAAACTTCACGAGAATTTTTATGACCATTAAGCACAGAAACTTTTAATAACTCTTGCCGTCAAAATCTAGCTCCTAACTCAGATGTGATAAGAAAATATATATGACTTGGAACAAAATTCGACCAACAATGGTGGATCAAAGCCTACCTTCACGTGGAGAGGTACACCCATAAATTTTCTAGATATAATATTAAAGAAGAAATAGGATTATTATGAAACAGAATCTAACACAAACCAAAGTGCTTTCCTTTCAAAATAAATTATCAGAACTTCAAAAAAAAAATCAAAAAACTCTACCAAACACACATAATTATTTCTTTTTTCATAACTAGGTTTAGAAAAAAAATATATATAAACTAAAATGATTTCTTATATTATTATAGAAGTTAAAAATAAAAAATTTAGAATATTATATAAATATATTTTTCCAAATTAACAAATACATAAACTAATTTTGACTGAAAAAAAAATATTGTTCTTTATTTAATGTTTCTCTTTTAAAGTTGCTTATGTAGAAACTCGTTTAATCAAGTTCATAAAGTACATGTATATCTATGAATACTAAATTAACCTCTCTTTTTTCTCTCTCTTTCTTCTTGTTTATATAGCAAGAGTGTTCTCTGCATTTTTATTATAAGTATATAATATGAAAATTTAAGATTAAAATAAAATTTACAGTTACATTTTTAGAATACCATCTTTAATTATTTAATAAAAAAAATTAAATGATTTTATCACACTAAGTGAATGAATTGAAAATTCATATCATTAAACGATATTTATATAACTTAATATTGATTTAAAGTTCTTTCCTACTATTGCAAAATTAACGTATATAGAACTACATTGCAAATATCTTAACAAATTATTAAAATCAACTAGTTTTAAGTCAAGTGAAACTAAAATCGAATATATCTTAATTAAAAAGGGCTTTGAATGCTTAAGATATAGATAAGACATAATTAAAGAGAGGAGATTTTATTTTAACTACTTAATCAGGTTTTCTAGAATAAATTAGTTATAAAACAAACATCTCTAACCAATATCTTCATGGTTAAAAAAAATAAAGAACCTAAGGTTTAATTAAGTTATGGTTGTTTTACTCTTGGACAATTTTCCAAAAATCAAGAAAATAAACAAATCAAAAAATAATTATTGATCATGAGATAAGTTCTGTATAAGCAAAATCATGAAAATTTTACACGATTTCTTTGTGAATTGCCAAAAAAGAGGAGTCGTCACTTTTAACCATTTCACATTTTCAAAAATTAATATTTACATTAAAGTTGAGAAATTTATAAAAATAAATTATGTAAAGTCATCAAAATTTTATTATTGAAGCCATTAAGAATCTATTAGATTTTACGTGAGTAAATATTTTGTTCTTTGTCTATTTTCGTAATTTCATTAAATTTCATAAAATAAAATAAAAAAACTATAATTCTTTCTACTGGAGCAATCCTCTTGTGTATATAGAACTTGACTTACAGCATAAAGAGGGCCATAGAGTGTGTAGTCGAAAGCAATAGCCCAAGAACGAGGGTTGTGATCTGCAATCAGAGCAACCACAGCACTTTGCAATGCACCGGCCAAGCATATCAACGACGACAGCGATAGTTCCGCAGGGTACCTTTTTACTGTTATGGACTGCACCAATATTCACTTATCACATTCTATAATGTCATCATAAATTACGTAAGGGAATATCTGCATATATAGTTATTTAATTACCTGCAATATGTAAAAGGAAGACCAAGCCAAACAACCAAGACATAAAAATAGGGTCCCTGTGAACCAGTGTTTGTCATCTTCAAGGGACTGCCTTTCATCTTTCTGGAAGCTGTTTGGATTATTTATAAGATTGATTTTGGGCCCTTTGTAAAGTGTCATCAACAGAGCCCCACCAAAGGTTACCAAGGTTCCTATTACCTTCGCTTGACTGCGTACCTCCTTCAACTTTACACTTTCTAATCTGATACAAGAAACGACCAATGTTATACTGCTTTTAAAAGTGAAAGAAAAATCATGCATTTAATGTTTTAATTACTTGGTAAGTGAAAGAAAACGCTGGCATGTATTAATGGGATTTACTAAAGATTGACAAGCAATCTAACCACTAATAATGAAACAAACCTTATAACTCATCTAATCAGAACTTGTCATATACAAAGAATAATTTAAACTTTTTCAAAGTTACTTAAAAATCACACCAACATAATTTCTATTGAATTGATATATAATAATGTAAAAGTCTCTTACACTCGTATCTATAAATGAATTGAAAAATGAATGTTACCTGAGAATTACTGCTATAAGAAAGGTTACAGAAGGTACAGCGTTCATAATAGCAGATGCAAACGTAGCAGAAGTGTATTGCATCCCCAAACAAGTGAAGCCTTGGTCAATCACTGGCCTGAATTATCATACGACACAGTCAAACAAACAAAAATTGCTTTAAGTTGGACTAGACTGCGTAAAATTCTCCCTGAATTATAATCCCATTTGCAATTATTGATTCTTTTATCAATTGATAACCATTTCCTCCGATATAATATTTTCGTTTTGATGAAATATGTTACAATCCAAATAATTATCCCTTTTAGGAAGGACATTCCTTCTGATATGCACAGCTGTACAAGTTTTTCTTCTTTAAATAAATATAAGTATATTATCAGCTCACTAGAAACAATTATTCTTTTCGTTAAAAATTAAAAATACAATCAATATTTACGTCATGAATAGGAATAATGAATGAATAAGATTCAGAAAATTACTCAAGAAATCCAAGGGCCAGTATCTGCATGAAGATAGACATGGTCATTTTCGGCCTTTCGTTCCTGCAGAAATTCAATACAAGATAATTAACTAAACAAAGTTGTAAAGACATAGTTCACAATTATGAAAGCAGGAAATAACTGCTGAAATGACTTTAGTATTGCGTATACATACATATACATACATATACATATATATATATATATATATATATATATATATATATATATATATGTATATGTATGTATATGTATGTATACGCAATACTAAAGTCATTTCAGCAGTTATTTCCTGCTTTCATAATTGTGAACTATGTCTTTACAACTTTGTTTAGTTAATTATCTTGTATTGAATTTCTGCAGGAACGAAAGGCCGAAAATGACCATGTCTATCTTCATGCAGATACTGGCCCTTGGATTTCTTGAGTAATTTTCTGAATCTTATTCATTCATTATTCCTATTCATGACGTAAATATTGATTGTATTTTTAATTTTTAACGAAAAGAATAATTGTTTCTAGTGAGCTGATAATATACTTATATTTATTTAAAGAAGAAAAACTTGTACAGCTGTGCATATCAGAAGGAATGTCCTTCCTAAAAGGGATAATTATTTGGATTGTAACATATTTCATCAAAACGAAAATATTATATCGGAGGAAATGGTTATCAATTGATAAAAGAATCAATAATTGCAAATGGGATTATAATTCAGGGAGAATTTTACGCAGTCTAGTCCAACTTAAAGCAATTTTTGTTTGTTTGACTGTGTCGTATGATAATTCAGGCCAGTGATTGACCAAGGCTTCACTTGTTTGGGGATGCAATACACTTCTGCTACGTTTGCATCTGCTATTATGAACGCTGTACCTTCTGTAACCTTTCTTATAGCAGTAATTCTCAGGTAACATTCATTTTTCAATTCATTTATAGATACGAGTGTAAGAGACTTTTACATTATTATATATCAATTCAATAGAAATTATGTTGGTGTGATTTTTAAGTAACTTTGAAAAAGTTTAAATTATTCTTTGTATATGACAAGTTCTGATTAGATGAGTTATAAGGTTTGTTTCATTATTAGTGGTTAGATTGCTTGTCAATCTTTAGTAAATCCCATTAATACATGCCAGCGTTTTCTTTCACTTACCAAGTAATTAAAACATTAAATGCATGATTTTTCTTTCACTTTTAAAAGCAGTATAACATTGGTCGTTTCTTGTATCAGATTAGAAAGTGTAAAGTTGAAGGAGGTACGCAGTCAAGCGAAGGTAATAGGAACCTTGGTAACCTTTGGTGGGGCTCTGTTGATGACACTTTACAAAGGGCCCAAAATCAATCTTATAAATAATCCAAACAGCTTCCAGAAAGATGAAAGGCAGTCCCTTGAAGATGACAAACACTGGTTCACAGGGACCCTATTTTTATGTCTTGGTTGTTTGGCTTGGTCTTCCTTTTACATATTGCAGGTAATTAAATAACTATATATGCAGATATTCCCTTACGTAATTTATGATGACATTATAGAATGTGATAAGTGAATATTGGTGCAGTCCATAACAGTAAAAAGGTACCCTGCGGAACTATCGCTGTCGTCGTTGATATGCTTGGCCGGTGCATTGCAAAGTGCTGTGGTTGCTCTGATTGCAGATCACAACCCTCGTTCTTGGGCTATTGCTTTCGACTACACACTCTATGGCCCTCTTTATGCTGTAAGTCAAGTTCTATATACACAAGAGGATTGCTCCAGTAGAAAGAATTATAGTTTTTTTATTTTATTTTATGAAATTTAATGAAATTACGAAAATAGACAAAGAACAAAATATTTACTCACGTAAAATCTAATAGATTCTTAATGGCTTCAATAATAAAATTTTGATGACTTTACATAATTTATTTTTATAAATTTCTCAACTTTAATGTAAATATTAATTTTTGAAAATGTGAAATGGTTAAAAGTGACGACTCCTCTTTTTTGGCAATTCACAAAGAAATCGTGTAAAATTTTCATGATTTTGCTTATACAGAACTTATCTCATGATCAATAATTATTTTTTGATTTGTTTATTTTCTTGATTTTTGGAAAATTGTCCAAGAGTAAAACAACCATAACTTAATTAAACCTTAGGTTCTTTATTTTTTTTAACCATGAAGATATTGGTTAGAGATGTTTGTTTTATAACTAATTTATTCTAGAAAACCTGATTAAGTAGTTAAAATAAAATCTCCTCTCTTTAATTATGTCTTATCTATATCTTAAGCATTCAAAGCCCTTTTTAATTAAGATATATTCGATTTTAGTTTCACTTGACTTAAAACTAGTTGATTTTAATAATTTGTTAAGATATTTGCAATGTAGTTCTATATACGTTAATTTTGCAATAGTAGGAAAGAACTTTAAATCAATATTAAGTTATATAAATATCGTTTAATGATATGAATTTTCAATTCATTCACTTAGTGTGATAAAATCATTTAATTTTTTTTATTAAATAATTAAAGATGGTATTCTAAAAATGTAACTGTAAATTTTATTTTAATCTTAAATTTTCATATTATATACTTATAATAAAAATGCAGAGAACACTCTTGCTATATAAACAAGAAGAAAGAGAGAGAAAAAAGAGAGGTTAATTTAGTATTCATAGATATACATGTACTTTATGAACTTGATTAAACGAGTTTCTACATAAGCAACTTTAAAAGAGAAACATTAAATAAAGAACAATATTTTTTTTTCAGTCAAAATTAGTTTATGTATTTGTTAATTTGGAAAAATATATTTATATAATATTCTAAATTTTTTATTTTTAACTTCTATAATAATATAAGAAATCATTTTAGTTTATATATATTTTTTTTCTAAACCTAGTTATGAAAAAAGAAATAATTATGTGTGTTTGGTAGAGTTTTTTGATTTTTTTTTTGAAGTTCTGATAATTTATTTTGAAAGGAAAGCACTTTGGTTTGTGTTAGATTCTGTTTCATAATAATCCTATTTCTTCTTTAATATTATATCTAGAAAANTATATATATATATATATATAAAAGGTGTAGCACCTTTCAAAGATAATGGCAAAAGGAGCAAGAAGAGACGCAGCAACGGCATTGCGATACACAGTTAACACAAAGCGACTCATTCCACGATCCAGACAAGCCTTAGTAATGATGAATGTTCCAGCCATTCCAATCTGTAACCCAACACATAACAAATAAGGCTTAGCCAGATAGAGCATGTTGCTAAATCTAGCAGCTTTCTTTTTATCCATCAGCATTAGTTAACCACAGAATTAACAAATGTTGCTATGTATTTGCTACTAAGACTAAGAAGCTATGTTGCCTAGTGCATGAAATGCCTCCCTTATAAAGAGCACGAAGGGTGATTAAAACAAAATCCACTGTATACATTTAGTAGAAATATCTGCTTAAAGTTCTGCTTTTGGTCACTTCATTGAACTAATTGTCCTGATCGTAAAGTTTCCACTGAACAACTAAAGTAAAGATACATAGTTTTTTTAGAATAACAGACACTGCCTTGCCTGATTCCCTTACTGAATATTTGCGTGTCGGAACAGAATACATATTGGAAGCAACATGTTTCGTTCATGGTTTTAAACTGTGGCCGTAACTTTAAATAATGCAATTTTATTCTCTTCACTTACTCTAGTATTAAATTGTGGCCATAACTTAAAAGATATTTCTATTCTCTTTACCTAGTTTTAAATTGTTGCCACAAATTAGAGTATGTTCGACGACGAATAAGAAAAAGAAAAATAAAAGAAGGTTCTCCAAAATTAAAATTGATTTTTTTTTATATCGAATACATGCTTTACACTGGTATAAAATATGGACAGATCCAATATTCACCGATCATAACTACCATGTTAAAGGAAAAAGAAGAAAGAAAAACATAAGAGGACTAGGTAAAAACATGCAATAAATTATAAAAATATGTACTCTAAAAGGTCAAATCTATTGCTAAAATATATACTAAGACCCACTCTATAATATCAGTATCTTTGCTAAAATATTAGTATCTTCTTCCTTGAAAATATGAAATATTTTAAAATTGATATGATCATTTAAAGACTTGCATTTATTTCATCTACTTCTAACCTTCTTATAGACTTTAGAATTAGCATGGAAATCATAAACCATAAAACATATCATTAATAATTCCATTAAAAATAGAAATACTAATAAAGTTAATTTATTTATAAAATAATTTCAAGGGAAGAAAATGCAAATTTAGCTTTGAATCAATCAAATTGTGATGCTATTAGATTCAACCTAACCCACTATAATGTAAAGCAAAAGGTTAGATTTTTATAAAAATTTAAAATACGTAAAATGTGTTGGTGTGATGTGGCTCTAGAAGGGAGGATGATTAGAGTATGAAAAACAAATTCAAAAACTATGTGCACAAATATATAGTTACAAACAAATTAACTACATAAAACTAAAAGTGTAGGGATAGCAAGAATGCACGCAACAGGTATATACTAATTCACTTTCACTTGAAGATACGACTAATCTCTTAAGAAACCTACTTAAGAAGTTTCACTAATCAACAACTTTGATCAGTGTTAAAAATAAAGGTCTTATATCTCAATCCAAGATGGATAAATTGGGTTTGGAACAATTCTCATAGATTCTTGAAAATCTTGGTTCTTGAAATCACTACACAATGGTTTATCAACAATCAAGATGAAATGCAAAGAGCAAGAACAAAGCACATACAAAGTTTTATATTGGTTCAGCTCTTGAATTGAATCTACATACAGTCATCCTTCAACAACCTTAGTTGAAGGAAAATTCACTAAAAGTTAGAGTTAAGAATACAAAAGAAGTCTCTCAATTTGTATCCTCACATACTTCAATACAAAACAAAAACCAAGACAGGTTCTCACTCACACTCTCTTAAACCTTGCTTACCCAACTAAGGTAACAAATGAAAACAATTATCTAATGAAACCTGAGAGCACAAATAGTTGTGCAGATCTTACAATTCTCATTTCTTTCTTGAAACCTTGCAGAGTTCTTGAGATTTCTTCACATCGGTTGATTGAATTCTCCAAGAATGTTTCTAACAACTTCTTGGTGTGTTCCTGTTCTTAAACTCAGTTAATTGTCAAATAATTGCAATGTATTTCGTAAAGAGATAGGTTAAAACACACATATATAGAGGATATGACCTTCTAGTGTATTTTAATCGATTATGTAAAAAGCTTAATCGATTAGGCTTTTGTTTTTGTTTTAATCGATTAGATTAGTAAATTAATCGATTAATACAAACAATTAAAAATTTTATTCTTTAATTTCTATTTTCCTAATTTCTATATCCCTAATTTCTATATCAACTAATCTACATTATCAACTCATTTACATTATCAACAAATTTAATAAAAACAATTCAAAATTTTATTCCTCTAACTTCTACATCCCTAATTCAAAGTTATACAACAATTATAATTATTAAGCAATTTAATACAAACACATTTCATTCAACATTGCAGAAAACCTAATTCAAAATACATATACATAAATTTTATCATTGTCATTCCTATCACCAATATATCTATCTCATACTAATTTACTATCAAATACAAAGAGAAAAATAAAGGGGTTTCAAACAACTACTCGTGAAGACGAAGGCGCCAAGCGAAGGGATCAACATGGTGGAGGAAGCGACGAACAATAGTTGGTGGTGGTGACAATGCAGAGAGGACGAGACGACGACAATCAATGGTGCACCGACAATAGAGATGGAAGCAAAGGCACCAAGCGAAGGGATAAACATGGTGGAGGAAGCGGCCAACAACAGTTGCGGTGGTGACAATGCAAAAAGGTCAAGACGACAACGGCCAGTGGTGCACCGACGACGGAGATGGAAGCAAAGGAAGCTTCTTAATCGATTAATAACATCATATTCATGTAGATACGTTCTATACCAATTATACTCTGTTATACATGATATGTACATCTAAGGTACTTCTAACATGATTCTAAGTATGTAGAGATGATCTTCTATACTAATTATATTGGTCAAGAAAGAACATTTATAATTCATCATCAAAAACACTTTACCAACTTTAGGAGAGCTCACCCTTTTAACAATCTTTCCCATTTTTGATGATGTCCAACATTCCAATTTTGTGTAACACATGTTCTTTTTTATCCTGCATCATGAACAATCTCATTCTCCCCCTTTGGGCATTAGCGAAAAATGAAGCAATCCTAATCACACCAAATATACAAGTTATAAGCATGTGAGAAGATATTCAAGTTATCTCATATATGCAAGTTATAAGCAGATGTGCAATGTAGTCATACAGTGATCCAAACAAAAAGTGTACTACGATTTTTCTAGATAATCAAATAGGTGACAAACAAAATAAGCAAATAGCTTAAAAACATAACAAGTCACGACTTCTTTAGTACATAAAGAAGGAGTGTCTAAAGTAGAGTTTATTAAGAAATTGCATGAGGTCAAAAACCAAATTGAAAAACAAACTCAAAAATACATTGAATACAACAACAAAGGGAGAAAGAAAATGGTTTTTTTAGGAAAGAGACTTAGTTTGGCTTCTGATACGCTGTCGTTGAAGCTATCAAATTAATACCACTTTTCAGGCAACTTCAGTATTACCAAGTAGTATTCAAGAAAGTAGATAGGGTTAAAGTAATCCTGAGTCGTCTCCCAATGAATATGAAATTGCCTTTTAATATTTGAATCTTATGAATGCAATGCAATGTTCAAGAATAAAAATGATGTTTGGAGAATGTTTAAAGAACAAATAAGAAACTTAAAAATGATTATAATGAAATAGGCTAATTCCACTTCTTTTCCAAGATAGATTCATCATCGTTTATTCACAGATAATTGTTCAATTTATTATTATTTAAGTTTCAAATTAATTAAAGTACATTCTTAATTAATTTGAGGGCGATCATGCATTTAACCAAAGTAAATCCTCAATCAAATGCAAAAACATTTCTAGATTATTCACAATGAATTCAACCAAAGTACATTCTCAATCAAATCCTA